TTCCTCTTCTGCTTTTCCCCTTCTTCCCTACTTTTCCCCTCCCTCTTTCTCCCCCCTCTTTCTGCCGCTCACCCTTTCTCTCTCTCATTCCCATCTCCATTCTCCCTCCCGCACTTCTTGCTCTTTACTCTTTGCCCGCTCCCTCTCTCACCCTCTCTTTCCGTGACCCTCTCTCACTTTCCCCTCTCCCTCCCGCTGCCCGCGCGGTCCCCGCGCTGTCCCCGCGCACTCGGTGGGTCCCGGTGCGGTGTCGGTGCGGTGCAGCCCCCGCGGTGTCCCCTGGAGGGCAGCACACGCCGCGCGGAGCCCGGGCCGGGCAGGTGAGCGCGGAGCGGCCCCGGGAGCGGCCCCGGGAGCGCCCGGCGCAGGGAGAGCCCCGAGCCTGGAAAGCCTCGGATGCTGCTCCCAGAGCCCGATAAAGGCTGCAGAAGCAAAACCAGCGTCTCCCACCCGTGGCTGTCGGGGCGAACCGGGCAAACACCGCCCGCGGAGCCCCGCGGACGGGAACCCACCGTGCCCGGGGCAGGGGGGCAGCGCGTTTCCAAGCGCCTCCCGCTCTCTTCCTTGAAGGGGTTCCCATCCCTGCGCTCTCTAGCTTGTTTTTCATAATGCCGATTTTTTTTTCCTTCGAGCCATTCGAATTTCGGGCTTTTCCGAGCCCGTTGGTTCGGTCTCTGCTCAGTCCCCAGCTGCAGCAAGCAAAGACCTTTTGCTGCTTCTAAGGGTTCTGTAGAAATTCATCTCGGTAAAGTTTTCAGCCGAGGAGAGGTAAGATTCAATCAAGGTTGTTTCTCGAGCGCGTTCCAGGCTTCTAGGAAGGGACAGCACAGGGACGCCGCAGGGGTAGCTTTGCTCAGACTTCGCATTTAAAAATTCCTGCATTTTAAAAAGTTATATCGTTAAAGGAATCCCATGTGCTTGTGTACGCTGAGACACAGCCTTACTTTTTACGAGAAATACGATTTATTTGAAAACCGAACATAGAAGTGTGAAGTCGTTCTCAAATTATTCCAGAAAAAGAAAAAAAAAAGTTTTCTCTTATGGTCGTACATTTATATGAAAAGTAGCCGAAGACCTCGCTGAATTCACTGTTTGTTTTCATAAAAAAAAAAAAAATCCCCCGGACGTTTTCTCGGTGGATGAAATCTCCCAGAACATTTAAAATTATTTCCATCAAAATTAAATAACAATTTTGAAGAGCCCGGCGAAACTTTCCAATCAATTTTTCCATCGCAGATCATTTTTAACCATACCTCCTTGTAGAGGAGCTGCCTCGTAATTTTAATATTTTTTCTCCCCCTAGTTCTCGCATAAAATCGTTTCCTTTCTTATTAAGAAAATCGCCGGTAATTAACAGCACCACCGAGTTCCCACGGCCGGAGCCGGCTGCCGTCTCGTCCCCACCGCCCCGGCTGGGAGCGGGAAAGGGACCCTTCGTCCCAGCAGCCAGCGAAAATCCCAGCCTGACTTTGGGGGAGAAAAATATCTTTGTTTAAAGCCTTAGGAAACCACACAAATTGCAAGGAGGGAAAGGCAGAATTACAGTGTAAGAAACCAAAAAATCACCGCTTAGGAATCAGAGCGGGAACAGCCGAACTCAAGGGAGGCAGCGGGAAGGAGCCCAGCCGAAGTGACAGCTAATTAATTTCAACCTTATCTTGGTCTTTTCGGGCTCGAATCGATTTTGCAGCTCTATTATATATATATATATATATATATTTAATTTTTTTTTCATGAAGCGGGGAAATCGCTGGTTTCCCACCTTCATTCCTTCGCTGGGCAGATCCACGCTTCTCCCGGGTGGAACAGAAGAACTCGCAGCCGTTTCTCCCAATACTTGAGTCTACACTTGGTCACCCTGCGTCCCTAATTGTCCCATCTGATTGCCTCTAATGGGCTCATTAGAGAAGGCAGAGGGGTGGATTTCACAGGCGCAAAAAAATCCGCCTCAAAGCCCGCAACGAAAAAATAATCAGTTTAAATTCGCTCACTATTTTTTTGTTTTGATTTTTTTTTTTTAAATAATAATAAAATACCCCAAACTCCCCTAACGCGACAGAGGAATCTCTCAGCCCGCGGGCGACCGGGGCCGAACCTGGGCTCGTGCCCCCGCCACCGGGCGAGCACCGCGGCGAGGGACCCGGTGGCCTTTCCCGAGGAACCGCGGGGCTGTTCACTTAAATACACTTTAAAAGTGAGACAAACGACCTGCCCGAGTGCTGGGGCGCCGTTATACCGGCACCGCGACTCCCGCCGCCCTCGCCATCAACCTGCGTCCGAAAAGTGCTTAAAAACGTGGTGTTTTGCGGGAGCGGGCAGAGCCCGCGGTCGGGGCTCTTTTGAGGGCCAGAGCGTTAAGCTCTCGGCGGTCGGGGGGGTTGGGGATGTCGGTGCCGGTGCCCGTGTCCGTGTCCATGCCCATCCCGGGGGTCGGCGCGGCCCCGGGCGCGGCGCGGCGGGAACGCGCGCGGGGGGGATGCTGCCGGCGCCGCCGCATCCCGCGCTCCCATTGGCTGCGGCGGCGGCAGCGCGCACCACCATTGGCTGGCGGCGGCGGGCGGGGGCGGGGCCAGCGGGCAGTAAAAGCGCGGCGGCGGCGCGGGGCGAGTTTTGAAGCTGCGCAGCGCGGCCGGGACGGAGCTCGGCCGCTCCCGCACCCCCCGCACCCCTCCGGGGGCTCCGGAGCGCCTCGGGCCGCTGTTGTGACAAGAACTGGGCTTTCTACAAGGCTTCTTCTTCTTCTCCTCCTTTTTTTTTTTTTTTTAAATATTTTTATTAATTTTTTTTTTCGGTTTTTTTTTTTTTCTTTTTTTTTAATTCCCTTTTCCTGCGAGAACAGGGCCCCCCTCCCCCGCCCAGCTCCCCGCAGCAGTGCCCGCCGCCGCCGCGGGCCGTAGCCGTGTGTACAAGAATCACAGTCATACAGAGGGAGGGAGAGGCCGCCAGAGACCACCCTGCCCCCGGCGACCCGGAGGATGCCGCTGCGGTGCCGCTGCTAGAGGACACGCTGGGATTTAGCTCGGCTCCGGGACTCTCTCTCTCTCTCCCGCTCTCTCCCTCTCTCCCTTCTCCGCAGAGGGGTCCCGGACGGGGGTGAGGCCCTTCCACCCTCTTCCTCTTCCTCCTCGCCTCCCCGGCCGCGGGAAGCCCCTCTCCATGATGCAGGCTCGCTACTCCGTCTCGGACCCCAACGCTTTGGGAGTGGTGCCGTATTTAAGCGAGCAGAACTACTACCGGGCGGCGGGGACGTACGGCGGCATGGGCAACCCCATGAGCGTCTACTCGGGCCACGCCGAGCAGTACGCGGCGGGCATGGGGCGCTCCTACGGCCCCTACCACCCCCACCAACCCACCGCCCCCAAGGACCTGGTGAAGCCACCTTACAGCTACATCGCCCTCATCACCATGGCCATCCAGAACGCCCCCGACAAGAAGATCACGCTCAATGGGATTTACCAGTTCATCATGGACCGCTTCCCTTTCTACCGAGAGAACAAGCAGGGCTGGCAGAACAGCATCCGCCACAACCTCTCCCTCAACGAGTGCTTCGTCAAGGTGCCTCGCGACGACAAGAAGCCGGGCAAGGGCAGCTACTGGACCCTGGACCCCGACTCGTACAACATGTTCGAGAACGGCAGCTTCCTGCGCCGCCGGAGACGCTTCAAGAAGAAGGATGTCTCTAAGGAGAAAGAGGAGGCCCGGGAACGGCTGCTGAAGGAGCAGCCCAAGCCCCCCGGGCTGCCCGGCGCCGACCTTCCCAAGGAAGCCTCCTCCTCCTCTTCCTCTTCCTCCGCCTCGGCGCCGGCCTCCGAGAAGAAGGTGGTGATCAAGAGCGAGACGGCGTCCCCCGAGCTGCCGGTGATCACCAAGGTGGAGACGCTGAGCCCGGCCAGCGGCGGGGCCCTGCGGGACAGCCCCCGCAGCGCCGCCTCGCCCCCCGCCGCCGCCTCCCCCGAGGCCTCGCTGCCCGAGCATCACCCCGCGGGCAACGGGCTGCCGGGCTTCAGCGTGGAGAGCATCATGACCCTGCGGACTTCCCCCGCGGGGGACCTCAGCCCGGTGAGTGCCGCCTCGGGCAGGACGGGCGCCGGGATGCCGCTGGGCTACCCCGCGGGGCAGCCGTCGGGCTACAGCGCGGCGTGTAGCCAGGCCCTGGACACTAGTGGGAGCTACCACTGCAGCATGCGGGCCATGAGCCTCTACAGCGGCGAGAGGCCGGGCCACATGTGCGCGCCGCTGGAGGAGGGTCTGGCCGAGCATCCCACCGGCGCCCCGTCGCCCCTCGGCACCCTGAGCCTGCCGTCGGGGCAGGACGGCGCGCTGGGCACCGGGCACCCGCACGGCGGCGGCGGCGGAGGGGCGGCGGGGGGGCAGCCCCCCGCCTCCTGGTACCTCAACCACGGGGCTGAGCTGAGCCACCTGCCCGGGCACACTTTTGGCTCTCAGCAACAGACTTTTCCCAACGTGCGGGAAATGTTCACGTCGCACCGGCTGGGGATGGAGAGCGCCTCGCTCAGCGACCACCAGGTGAGCAGCAACTCCGCCTGTCAGATCCCCTACAGATCCGCGCCCTCCCTATACCGCCACGCCGCCCCCTACTCCTACGACTGCACTAAGTACTGAGTAGCCGCGACCCCCCGCCTAGGGCCATCTGGAAAAAAAAAAAGTTTTAAAAAAATTATTATTAATAATAATTATTAAAAAAAAAAAAAAAGATCGGGAGAAATAAAACCACATCAAACGCAGGAAAAAAAAACAAACAAACAACAAACAAAACAAAACCAAAAACAACCTGACAGCTTCCCCGTCAACCTGGGAGTCACAGAGTTTGTAGATCCCAAAAAGCCCCGTTTCGGGCCTCCTTAGATTCCAGACAAGTAAATCGTACTTGAAAAAACGGGGATCTCTCCTAAAAAAAAAAAAAAAAAAAAAAAAGAAAAAGTGGCAAAAAAAAAGAATCATTTTATATATATATATGTCTATCTAAAAGTGGCAAATTTTATATGCTAAAGTATAGGGGGTCTCAGAAAAATAAGTTATGGACCAATATCACAACGACCATTTATACGTTTTAAAAGGAAAAAAAAGTATATAAATATATATATAAATATATGTCCTGGGTATTTTTTAAGTTCTCTGTTGTGCTGTAAAAAATGTGTGGATTTCTAATCAGGCTGATTTTCAGAGCCATTAATATAATATTTAAAGTTGAGTTCACTGGATTATTTTTGTCTCGCCCAACGATTCCTAACTTCCAAATTAATGACAAGTGATTTCTTCTTTTTCTGTGTACAATTATGCAATAGAGTTTCTTTCGTTTTAGAGCTGTTCTTCTCGCAAGATGAGGAAATAATTTATTTTTTGCTGGTGGATTTTTTTTTTTAAAGGAAAAATAGACAAAGTATCTGATACTTTTTTATTATTATTTACGACGTGTGATGTTTTGTATAATAGATTTCACCTTGACCATTCTTAGGGACTATTTGCTTTAACCTGCTTCAAAATTCGTTTGTCTTATGTGGTCCTAATTGTTGTACTTACCTTAAAATAAATCCATGCTGGTTTTTTCTGCTCCAAGTCTGGCGCTTCTCTGTGTATATACTGGTTTTTTGCAGGTTTTTTTTTTTTTTCTCCCTTCACCTTTCCTTCATGCAGAAAACGTGGCACTGGTTGTTTTTAAAACAAAGTCCTTTTCCTGGAGCCTAAAGGCTTCTGATGATTATTTCTTAGATAAAAGGTTTAATTCACGTGGAGAGATGGAAATTGTACAAGTGTGGTGGAGGTGAAAGAATAAGGCACTGCGCTGGCAGCCGGGGCTGAGCACCCTCAATCCGGAATCCCTGTCAGCTTGAAATTTAGGGAGTTTTCCCAGGCCTGGGATGGGTAGAAGGGGGAAAACAGGAGTAGGGAAGGGGATTTCTGCTCCCCTCGCCCCATCTCTGTGAGCGCGGGCCTTGCACAGTGCTCGGCGTGTCTCCGAGCCTGGGGCCTGATCTTTCCACGACAGAAAACAAACAAACAAACAAATCCATTTTATTTCTGTATTTATTTTTCTTTAAAGGAAGCCTGTGAGGCTGGGAGCGGGTGCGGGTGATGAGAGTGATCATTTAAACCCGGACTCATTGTGGAGACTTCAAAAAGCAAAGTGGAAAGTTCACTTGACAATCATTTAAAACCAATTAGTTTTCAAATTTAAAAACAATACAGTTTTTAAATCCTCTCCTGTACTAAGAATTAGCTGATTTTAACCTTCTCTTTATCTCTTTAAGCTCTAGTTTGCAACGCTGGGCACTGCCAGATGTTGTGCCTTTGCCCCAAACCATCCTTTAACCTGTTCCAGTAGCTTTAACCCCGGGCAGAAACGCAGGGTTTAGCAAGGCTAAAAGCACGAGAATGCCGGCAAAGCCTGAAGCAGAGTTTAGGAGAGTCTTTGGGACTTTTCAAACCCAGCTTACTGGAGCCATGTCCTTTTCCAGCTGCAAAATCTCAGCCATACAGTATTTCCAGGGGATATTTCCCAGCCGTGCTCCTGTCCCACCTCCTGTAGCCCCCCCAATATCCCTCGTAGCCCTTTTTCTGAGTTCAGGAGTGCTTATACCCGCGTCAGGCTGCTAAAATCGATGAAATAAATTGGTTTTGATGGATTATATTTCGCATGCGCTTAAAAGCTGGCAAACAGCACTGAAATTCGATTTAAATGAGAAAAAAATGTCCAAACCTCACTTGATCTGTATTTAAGGAACATTCTTGTAAAAAAACTCCTGCCGTTTTTCCTGGCTCTCAGAGGGTGGTTTTTATTTTTTTTTTTTTTCTCTTTATTTTTTAAAAGTGAAATAAAATCCAAAGTGCTATTTTAAAAAGAGAAAATACATAATGTAAAGGGTAAAAAAAATAAGTTATAAGGGAAATAATTAGGGTAAAACGGTGACTAGAAAATAAACAGGGTAGAAGGGGGGAGAAAAAATGAATTGGGAAAGAATTCTCCCCCCGGCTCAGACCTGCTTCCCCGGGGTTTTTCCCCGCACGGGAACGCCGTGAGGGAGATGGCTGAAGTCAGGTGGCTGCTGTGGGTTTTCCCACACGCGTTCAGAAATCCCGGGGCCTCCGATGCTCCCACAACTTCCCACGCTGGCCAAGGGCTCTGGGCACACGGGGACCTTTTCCTCACCGGCGGGCAGGGCTGGGATGCCGAGGAGTGCGGTACTGGGGGTCGGGGCACCCCCCCCCTGTGGCTCTGCAAGCTCCCCCCGCGCTGCTGCTGGACAGTTCCTGGGGGGTCTCAGCTTGAGCCGGATTTAGGGGTCTCCTCTCACCCCACAGCTCCTTGTTCGTGTTTTCTTTCCTGCCTTGTCCCGGTGGGACCTTCCCGCTCTATCTCCCTCCTTCCCGTCCCGCTGGAGGTGTTCCTTCGGGGCTGGGGGCTCAGAGCATCGTCCCTTTGCTCTGTCCCGTCCTGGGGTGGGGGGTTGGACCCACCTATCCCTCTCCCTCGACCCCCAGTCGCCCTCATCATCCCGCTGGGAGCCCTTTTGGGTGGGCTGGTGTCGCAGGAGAGGCGAGAGCTAAGTGCGGGATGCAGGGATGTATTTGGGACTCTCTTTAAAAACTGAGATATGGAGGTCAATAAAGCGATAGGCGCCTGTCGCGACAGGTGATTTCAGCCCGGCTGGAGCAGAGGGGGAGGAAGGAAGAAAGGGAGGAAAGAGGAAGGCCCAGGGTGGCTGCAGCAGCAGCCGCGGCCGGGTCAGGCTCTGCAGTCCCTGGAAGCCGAAGGACCGGTATAACACCCCCCCCCCCCGTAATCCTCTCCTCGTAGATCGGGGGGGGCGAGCTCGCCATGGGGGGGACGAGCTGATGCTGCTGTGTGGCCGGTGGCTCCGGGAAGAGGATGGTGGATGGGTTTTCATATATGTATGATTTTTTTTCTTGTACTGCCATTCACCTCCACGTTTGCAAACCTGTCCGAAAGCCCAGACAGCTCCGGGTTTTGGGAGAAGGGCCAGCGGTTTTCTATCTCGTCCCCGCCGGGAAGGTCCCCATAACTCGGTCAAAGGAGCGTTTCCCTGGTGCTGCAGGACCCAGGTAAAACACAGTCCCCTTAGAAAGCCCCTCAGGCCTCTGAACGACCCAGGCGCGAGCTGTCTGACCCCTTCCAATCAACCCCAACTTCCCTAGACTTTGTAGGAAGGCACCGGGCAAGAGGTTTTTGGGGAAGGCCGCGAGCTCTTCTGTCGTTTTGGAGGGGAGATAGAATTATATCCCTGAGCCCAGGGCAATACCGAGCGACCTCGCAACTGTACAGGGCCGTGCACGGCGAGGCGGCGAGGGGTGGGCAATTCCCTCCGGGAGATCATTCCTAAGGGAGCCCAGGACGGGATGCAGCAGGAGTGGAGAGCACTGATTTACATCCTCGTTTCCCCCTAGGCTGGGGTGCAGCAGGAGTGGGGAGCACTGGTTTGTGTCCCCCCTTCCCGGCACGCAGCAAGAATAGGAAGAACTGATTTACACCCCTTCTCCTCGCCATCTCGGGATGCAGCAGGAATGGGGAGCTCTGATTTACACCCCTGCTCCCCCCATCCCCGGATGCAACAGGAGTGGGGAGCACTGATTTACACCTTCACTTCCACCAGTCCGGGATGCAACAGGAATAGGGAGCTCTGACTTACACTCCTTCTCCCCCCTCATTCCGGGATATAGCAGGAGTGGGGAGCACTGATTTGCGCCCTGCTCCCCCCGAGGGCCCCGGGCGGGACCTCTCCTCGCTGCTGCTGTAAAAGGGACTTGTCTGCTGGAGAGGAGGGAAAACCCATCCAGGAGCGCCTCCATCGCCTGCTCCGTGGTTTTTTGTTTTGTTTTTTTTTCTTTTTTTTTTTTTTTTTTTTTTTTTTTTTTCCCCCGTTTAGGGAAAGAGAGACGGCCAAACAACACCACCACCAAGAATCCCTCTCTCCCACTTCCCCGGTCCCCCCGCAGCCATCGGAGCCGCTCGGAGGGCTGATTCCGGGCAGATAACGCAGCGAGCTCCGGGGATGCCGCCGGCAAGAGAGGGATAACAGGGATAACAGGCAGCACACGAGCTGGGAAGAAGGAACGAAGAGAAAAGCCGCATCCCCGCCTCCAAGGATTTCCCACCGCGAAGAGGGGAAAACAAGGAAGAATTTTACAGGGGGAGGGATCTCAGGGAGAGAGCGGGAGTCCGTGTGCCTGTCTCCTGCCGTACATGCGAGTATTTATTGTTTTACTAATCCGTGCTTGGAGTGTCCCAAGTAGTGGGGGACTCCCCGAACTGGGGAGAGGAAGGGGCTTTAGGGGGGAAGACCCTCGCCCGGCTGCCCTAAGGATGCTCCGGGCGGGTTAGAGCAACCGGGCTCCGTTCCATCCTCCCCAGCGAGGATGCTACCGGGGCGGGGAGGCTGCCAGGGAGGGCTGGTCCCCAGTGTGGAGACAAGAGGAGTCTCCCCCACCTCCAACCCTTTCTTTTACCTCCCCTTTTTTATTTATTTGGAGGTTTATTGCATTTATGGCACAGCGGATGGATCCTGCAGCTCCCGGGGGCCGGCGGGTGTGCGCACCCCGGGGGAAGGATGCAGAGTTACCGCCAAGGGCGGTGTCAGAGAGGTGATTTTCCCTCCCTCGCGTGGGGCCAGCCAGTGAGAGGAGAGACCCCCTCATCCCCCTGACTCAAGAAGCCGCCTCCCCCCGCACTCTGGCTGTGTTTCCCAGGCTCTCATGGCAGTTTGCAGCTCTCAGGACGCATCTGCAGCTTCACAGCATCGCGCTGGCTTTTACCAGGGGGATGAAACTCCTTCGTCCAGGAGGACGGGAGCAGAAGTGGACGAAAAACCCCACGGGCGAAGGGGAGTTTGCAGGGAAATCTGGGGGTGCGAAGGTCGAGGCATCGCCAGAGCCGGGTGATGCTGGGGGACAACCAGGAGCCTGGCTTTTACCTCTTCTCATTCCAGGTAAAAGACCCATCAGGATCGTGGGAGCTTCACTGTCTGGATATTTCTCAGTGAAGGAGGAAGGGATCCCCCTCAGCCCTCCTTTTCCTTCCCCCGGAGAAATGATGCTCCACGGAGCAGCGTCTCCTGGGGTCTCACGCAGGTCCGAACAGCGGGGGGACTGGGGAAAGAGCCGACACCTCCAACTGCATCGGAATCCCTCGGGGCCTCAGATTAAAGCTGTTACGTCAGTAAATTAAAAAAAAAAAATCCAATAACAGAAAACACAGCCCCAAACCTGGACGTTTATACAGAAAAAGAGCATCACAAATTCCTAATGTAAGCACCGGCCAGCTGTGTGCACTTGTAAAGTTGTTATAATCCCCCTCCTTGTTATAAACAGGAAAGTACATAATATAAAGCAACAGGCCCGCATTCACAAATACTGACCCTCCTCCCCGCGCCTGCCAAATTCCCCTTTTTCTGCAGATTCCCCCGGCGCAGCCCTGCCTGGTTGGGACGGGGGCTGGACGGGGAGTCCCCTCCGCCGTTCCCGGGGGTCCCCCGGGGATGAACAACAGGGTCCCTGCATTGGGACGTGCAGGAGACCCCGCCACACCTGAGCCCCCCCTTTCCTCAGAACTCCAGCCAGCCCCTTTTCCTTCCTCCTCGTCGCAGCGCTGCCTCCTCCTCTCACCCATCCCGTTTTCTTCCTTTCTTTATTTTTTTTTTTTTTACAATTTTTATGTTGTTTAATGCCCCAGTTTTCCTGCGGGGATCCCTGCCCGCTCCTCCCCAGCTCCAGCAGTGTACATCCTGCTCTGCTGTGTGTGCTTACAGCGTCAAAGGGTGGACGTGATATTTCAAACATCAGATCACTGCGTTTATATATTGGGTGCCCGGAAATTTTTCCAAATAAACACAGCTTGATTCGACTTGGGTGGGCAGACTTATCAACAGACTAATTCTATAAACAAATGAAGGAATAACCCGGAGACCATTGGCTGGTACCAGCGAGACACGTGGAGAGAGCTTGGAGTTTTGTAGCAATGAAATTTTAATTAATGTGGGTGGGCTGAGAACACAAACGACTGTTTATCAGAGACAATTTATTTTCCAGTGCTAAGTCAACATATAATAGCAAACTTACAACAATTATTTAACTTTTTTTTTTTCCTCCCTTTTTTTTTTTTTTTTTTTTTTTTTAAGAGCTATGAAGCGGGGACAGAGGCAGAGCGAGCTCCTTCAGGCAGGGCTGGGAGCTGAGCTCGCACAAACAGCTCCCCGGTGGACTCGTCCCAGGTTCCTGCCCTGCCCCGTCCCTCCGCTCGGCTCCGAGGGGGAAGACGCGGAGCTGGGAACCCGCCGGCGATGAGCCACATTTACGGCAGCCACCTCTCCCCTCTGGGCAACCCCTCCATGGTTTATCTCCCGGCCGCCCTCGGCTTCGCCCCCGGGGGGGCGATCTCCCGGCAGGACCCCCCGCAGAAACCCCCGTACAGCTACATCGCCCTCATCGCCATGGCCATCAAAGAAGCCCCGGAGCAGAAGGTGACGCTCAGCGGCATCTACCAGTTCATCATGGACCGCTTCCCCTTCTACCACGACAACAAGCAGGGCTGGCAGAACAGCATCCGCCACAACCTCTCCCTCAACGACTGCTTCGTCAAGGTGCCGCGGGAGAAGGGCCGGCCCGGCAAGGGCAGCTACTGGACCCTGGACCCGCGGTGCCTGGACATGTTCGAGAACGGCAACTACCGCCGGAGGAAGAGGAAGCCCAAAGCCCCGGGGCCGCCGGAGGCGAAGGGTGGCGAGCAGCCGGGGCCACCCGCCCGCCCCGTCGAGCCCAAGCGGTCCAAGGGGAGTGCGGCGGCCGCGGGGGACGCGGGGGTCCCGCGGCCGGGCCGGGGAGCAGCGGCTTCCCCGGGGGGTCCGGCCCCGGTCGCCCCCGCAGCCGCCCCGCCGCACAAGAGCGGCCCGCGGGGCCGCAGCTTCAGCATCGAGAGCATCCTGGCGCAGGGGCTGCGGCAGCCGCCCCCCGGGGCAGCCCCCAAGGCGGCCCGGGAAGGCCCCGCCGGCTGCCTCGGCGGCTCCCTGGTCGCCAGCGGCGGCTTCGGCCCGACCCTCAACGCCTCCCTCATGCTCGACTCCCAGGTGCACGGGAGGCTCTACCACATCGGCATCCCCTTCCTCTCCTGCTTCCCTCTCCACGTATCCGAGGCGGTATTTAATTTCCAGTAGTTGCCCCATAATTAACCCCCCCCCGGCCCCAGGCGCTGCTTGCGGGGCGCGATGGGGGTGAGAGACTGGACTCAGACCTCACTGCGCGGGTAGACCAAAAAAACCCCAAAGCGATGTAAAAGGTGACTCAGGATTTCAGGGCATTTTCAAGGCGCGTGTTGCTGTGGACTCTCTTTAGCCGTTGCCTCCCACCCCCTCTCCAGAGCGACTTTTGAAGGTAAACAGCTTTCTTTACCCGTGGGTAGTGAAGGTAGAGACAGGCACTGGGGGGATTGCCCACACTGCCCCTAAGCTCTGTTGGGTTTGCTCTGCACCTTTAGTCTTTGCATCCCTCAGGTTCCTCAGACCTGGTTTCTTTCGAGCCCTTCAGGTCTCTGGTTTTCTTCTTTTATTTTCCTTTTGGAAACCCAACCCACTCTGTCCATCCGTGGCGGAGGGGGCTGAGCTTTGTTTTGCCGTTAATACCCACAGATATTAATAATTCCTGATACTCCTCATTGGCCCAGTCCTCCCAGTGGGTAAAGGCAGGTAACTGGAGCTGAAATAAGGGCAGACCAAGCAATCCAGGCTCATCCTGCACATTCCTGCTTGCTTAGAATCAGCACTGTGTGTAACTGGTTTCCTGCCCAGCGCTTGTGCTTCTCGAGTATCTCAAAAGAGTTTCTGCTCGCTGATGAGAGAAGGATGGATGAGCAAACACAGGGATGCATCCCCTTTCCATATCTTGCTGGGATCAGTTGCTTCTGACCACAAAAAGACTGAAGCAGGGTTGTGGAGGCCACTCTTGGCATTTTGAAATACGCCTTTTAACAACCAGGACAACTACCAGGAAAAAAAAAAGACATCAGCTATGTATCTAAAATTTTATTTTTTCTTAAAGAAGGAAGAATCCAGACACACTGCAAGAAGTCAGGAATATTTCTTATTTTTGTTTGCCATAAATAGAGGCTTTTTGTATATTAGTGGATAAATGCCCTTTTGGAAAAAAAAATCTATATTCTCAATTTTCATTATGAAACGAAACCTATATCCAATAAAAGTATTTTGTTCAGGAGTGTGGCTGGTGTGATATAAAACACCCTGGAGGATCAAGGAGTGGGGTCTGCTGCTGGATGCAGTGAATATCCTGGTGAGGACATGATGGACCTCACATGATGGACCTCATAAAAGGTGGAAGAGATTAAACACAGAGTCCTGGGAAATTACCTGTTCCTTGAAACTGAGGTAATGTTTCCCAAAATGATTGTTTCTCCTTCTCTTCCCTCCATCCCACCCCATCTCACTAGAAAAGCTTGTCCTTAAATTAGCACCTGGATATTGGAAATGTGGGTTTCTCAGGTGAGTTGTGATTCAGCTTGTGCAGAAGAAGATCAGCACCAAACAACCTTGACATTTGGACCAGGAGCTCAGGGGCCTCGTTCCAGCACAAGGCAAAGAGCTCTCATATGGGGAAATACAGAAAATCTCCAAAAGGTGGGAACTGATGCTGAGGTTCCCAAAAGAATGATGCTTACAGGCAGATCCCTGGATAGGTCCAGCTCCTTCTTCTCAGTGTGAAAAAAGGGAATAGAAGAAGAGATTTTTTTAAAACAGATTTGCAAGACAGATTTTATTTAAGTAGTTCTGACAACTCTGACAACTTGAACATATGTTGAATAAATTCTTTAAAGCTATGGCAGTGAAATAGAAAATAATAAAAAAAAAAAGCACTTGTAAAATGAAGGTGTCACTGCTCAGTCAAAGGCACATGTGTCCCCAACGCCATTTACAAGGCTGGGCAAGTGCTGAGAGTGTTGATGCTCCCTGTGTGAAATCCTATCCCTGCAGTGCCACTCCTGTGTGTAATTAGAGACAGGTATTGGTTAAATCAGTGGCCACCTTGCCAGCAGGTTTCTGTTCAAGGCTGGGGACTGACATCACCAGTCTGTTTGGAGTCCGTGAGGTGACATCACTCACAGGAAGCTGCAGGGGTAGGAAAACGATCCAGCTCAGTTCTTGCCCAGCAGAGACCTCCAGTCATCTCTCCACTCCCTGAGTGATGCTTTGGGCACGGGTGTGAGATGAGAGGTTAATGCTGCCTCTGAGACTTGTTTGATGGATCTCCATCAAGCTCCAGAGCCAGTTCCTACAGATGGGGATCCTGCCTCCCTGGCCTCCCTGCAGCCTGGCCCCCACACCATGGATGTGCCCCCACAACATGCTCTTAATCACCTGTTTTAACCTGTGTCTTCAAGCTCCTTTGTTTTCCTTTCTCCTAACTCGGCATCCCAGCTGTGTCCTCCCCCCTCCGCCCCCCCTCCCCCCCATTTTGTCACCTCTATGCTCCTATTCCAGCTTCCCGAAGTACTTTTTTGACCTGTAAACAGAGCTTTAATTCCTTTCCTACTCACGCATGTATAACTCTCCACCTCACAGCCCTTTCTGTGCAAAAGCATTTTTTAGTGGCCAAAAAAATCATCCAAAGGAGTAAGTCTCAGTTTAATATGTAGACCATGTATATTTTTATCATAGACACTTTTTTTTGGAGGGGGGGGGGGAGATTCAGCTTTTTCTATGCAATGGGAATTTGTTTTTTCATGAAGCTTTGCTTTGACATTTGATCTTATTTCTGTTTTGGTGGAGTGGAGTGGGACCAAATACAGCTGCACTATTTAAAAGCCACATTGAGCTTGATTTTGGTTTCGCTTGAGAGAATAAAATTAGTAAACTTAACATGCTCTGCACAAAAGTGACACTAACTCAAATGAACTCACAACAGAGTGAACAGTTATGAGGGGCAATTTGGAATTAATTGGGATCAGACCAGTGCTGTAACAGGGGATGAATACCACGAAAAAGGGTCTTATTGCCAGCAGGCAGGATGACTAACCACACACAGCTCTTGCACGTCATCTGTTTATAGAGAGAGGACAACTAACGGTACAATAAAAACATACAATAAAAACATAAAATAAAAGCAACAGCGCTTCGGTGCAGAGAAATGAGTGTGAGTGTCAATCCACCAGTTCCTGCCCTTTGGATGTGACTGAGCATCCTTTAATCCTCTATATATCCTGTGAATTTTGATGTGGTGTAGTTCAAATCAGCCAAAGTGCCACATCAATATCAAGGACTTGACAAGCTGCAAGGAATTGATGCCAATGGTTTCACACCTGTTTCACACCCCCCCGCCCCCCAAAACCAGCTGCCAAGCACAAAACTGCCACCCAGTATTTAACTCATCCCTGGAATCTTCCCCCTCCTGGTTTTCCCAACCTCTCAGGGTTGACTGGCTGTAAACACCAGTCTGGAATACTGTGGAGAAACGGAGAAAATAGCCCAGGATGCAGTATAAACAGCACACTTCTTGTGTGGGCGATATATGTGCCTTTCCGTTCCTCTGGAGAGGAGTGACCTCTCCCAGCCCAGCAAGGTTCCACGTCTCCGAGCTCTGCAGCCAATTTTAACTCTCAGGAGCAGAGAAGATCCCACAGTGGAAGAGGCTCGTTCGGTTCACAGGGCGGCTTCGCTCCAAACACACGTTTCCTTTGAGGGGAACTGAAAATTTGGCGTATTAAAATAATTCCGGAGTTTAATTTCTCATAAATGGGGCTCCCAGTCTTTAAATGCACTCAGTGTGTGTTCTCCTAAAGTTGGGCCCGCAGCTTGTATAAAATATAATCAAGTATTTATGTGTGAGCAGGAACCACTTTCAGGGCTCGTCACTGCAAGTGGCTGTCTGTGTCTGATTTACAGGTGACATAAATCTGAGGGACTTTGTAGCTGCTTTTACTTCCCCTCACACCATTTTATAGTTAATTTTCTTTCCATCCTTTGCCAAGGAAGACACATAAAGGAGAGAGCATCCTTTTTCACACCAAAACCCACTGGCTGCTCCCAAGCCCAGTGAGAGAAGCAGCCAATTTGCCAAATGAGAGGGGAAGAAGGATCCCCTTGATCTTTACTTGATTCGTAGCCCCACACACCCAGAAAACAGATCTCCCAGGAGACGGTGTTTGGGATATTAAACAGATCACATATTTGATTTTAAGTGAAAGACCAAGAAGACAAGATCACAGAATTAGAGAAGTTACAGATGGAAAAGGTCTATGAGGTTATGCAATCCATCAGTCTGGACATTGCATAATTGCTCCCCACAGTATATTTTTAGTGCTTTATCCAGACAAATCATTAAGTGCTTTAAAATGGGCCAGATTCCTCAAGTGCAGTGCGTGCAAAATCACAGCTGATTTCACCAACCCTTGGAGCTTCAGTTCTAATAAGACACCAGGAGGAAGTTTTGTGTGGTCAAAGAGAAAAAAACAGGCTCTTCCAGAAATAAATACAGGCCTGGTTCGGTATTCCTCACAGGAATCTTGCCTAAATTAACTGAATTAGATCCCTAAAATCTCATTTTCGGATTATACTGAATAATAATACATTATTACTTATTCAGATGTTCACTTAGTCCAAAGTAAAACATTGTTCATGTTCATGCGAACACGATTTGTTTTAAGCGGCTTCAAAGCCGGCTCAGTAAAGCGTAAAGAATGTTTATTTAAAATATAGTTGCTAAATTTAGCATGAGCTTGGTTAGCCTAAATCTTAGCGACATTTTTAGAGAGCACATTGCGAATCAGGAATGCATAGAGAAATAAATAAACTTTCCCACATTTTTGGAAATGGAGTAAGAATTTGCAAGTTATTCCTTGCACGGGCGATTTCTGCAGATTGGAAAACGTTATGGATAACACAAATTTCCCACTGAACAGACAATTGAAAGCACACAATGCTAATAATTTTCACTGCAGTTTCATTTCAAATAACGCTCCCTCAAGGAGGAAACAAAAGCTGTCAGCTTTTGTTATAGAACTTACGCAGAGTACCAACGTGTTTCAATATTTACTCAAGCTCTTTGCAAAGCACCAAGAAGTGCAATGGAGCTGCCCTTGGCTACAAGCCACACCCAACCCCCTGCAAAGGAAATCTCAGGGTTGAATTAGGTCCTGTGCCTCTTCCTA